TGCTGCGCATTAGTTTCATCGTGTTTGAGTTTTGGCGTGTTTGTGTTTTGGTGTTTATTTCTATTTTATTTAAATTCAGTGCTTTGGTGGACAAATAATCAAATGGCCCAAATTGGCGTTAAAATTGTTTGCAGATTTTTGGTTAGTATTTTGATGAATTGTTAATTCAATACGTGAAACAAAAACAAAGAATTTGACAGCATTCTATTTCGTATTCGCTTTGATTTTATATGTTAAATATTCGTTAAAAATGTTCGTGCTTTTCATGCTTGTTGTTACAACACGCTGTTGATTTAATATAAAACACAATGTTTGTTTTATTTATGATTATTATGTACATACGCAAGTACTTTATTTATTGATATCATTTCCAATTTCATAGAAACGCTATGACTAATGATGCATATTCTATTTTAACACTGTAGTTGACATTAATTTTGTTTCCTTTTGGGGCTATTTTAAATTATTATTTTTATTTCTATATATGTATTACTATAATATTCTTCACTTTCAGGTGTCGGTGAAGAAATTTTCATCAACATAATGGAGAGCAATGTGAATGTTTTGCCGTACAAAATCATCCTACATTTTATAGTTATGCAAAGTACACTGAGTAATAATTTTGAGCAAGTAGGTACTTGCAAGCTTTTATTGCGATGGATATAATCCTGATTAGTATTATCAAAAATGCTTAGTAATAGCAAAAATTATGAAACACTTAAAGCCACATGCTGCCAGAATTCCATGAATGAAATTCTAGACATTTGATCTGCTTTTATTGTCGGATCCTGCAAGTAAGAAGTATGTCTATATATTTATTAACAGTTATCAGCAAATGTTGTCTGTATAATTACGAGTTTAGCTGTTAGCTCACAATTCACAAATTTTACAATTGCTAGCAAATATGGTTGATTTTGTTGATGACACTGTTGATAATTTCAATGATTAAATTTGATATTAACTTACTATGGAACAGATTAAACTTATGTAGCATTGTTTATGTTTCTTGGTATAATTCTTTTATTTGTTTGTCATTTTACTATCCTCAATTTTTAATTTTGTAACAATTTTATATTTTCTCATGTTAAAAAGTCGAACGATTAACTTCATGATTTTTTTCTTCACATAGTCTCTACTATACTTAGACGGTGGTCTACTTTCTGTTCACAACATAAAATTTTAAATATCAAGTTTTACATTGTTTCCAATTGTTTTGATAGGATTGTAAGTGCAAAGCCATGCATGAGAACTCCCGAATTCATTATAGAATTGAAATTGAAGTTCATTAACAGATACTTGTTGTAATAAGTTTATAGTAATGGTTTCTTTAAATGTTTCAAAACAAAACATTATCAAATTTGAACTTGATACTTAATATCGTTCATACCATGAACCATTATTAGCTGAGCTTGGGAACTAATTTTATGTTAACAATGCTGGCAAATTGTTTTCCTCTACAAATTAAGCAATGAAAGCACTTGTATTTAACCTTGCAATATTTTTGAATCACAAGATTTATTATTATATTACCCTGCTGACAATAGCATATATTTCAAATACAAATTGCTATCTTCTGTTCCAACAATCAATAAAATAATCAGTAAACATTTTTACATATATAGATACGTGATATCATCAATAAAATCATGAACATCTTTAAAAATTAATTTTAAAATCCATGGGATTTCGTCTTTAAGCCTTCATTCAGTGGAACTAAAATTAAATTTAAAAACTTAAGTATGTGAAGTATATAATAGTATGTAACCTATATAATAATTTTATCTGTGTTTTGATTTGTGAGAATGCACACATACATCGATTGAGTAAAATACAAATGCATGGTGCTTCTTGCTTCATTCTATTATTCCCATTAATGTTTTTGAGGTAAGATACATTAACAGTACCACTCTCATTTGTGTTAGAATACAAAATTATATATAGAATGCGGACCTGATGAGGATATCTATCTAGGAGTGAAAGAGGGGGTATCTCCATCATGGTATAAAAGAAAGAAGTTTCAACAAAATCATTCTATTTCGACTGCCTGCCCAAAGGAATAATATACCTTGTATTATTGTATAAATAGAATACTGTTATGTAAATATTATCAAAGTAATAAATTTTATTTTACCATTAACATTGGTTATGGGCCCAGGTGAAATCCCAGGTAGAATCCCAGGTACAAGTCCAGGTAGAAGCCCAGCGTACTGAGCGAGTTCGGGAATCCAGCGACTGATAACGAGTAACGGGATCCTGACGTAAACAGTGAGTGTTTTTGAAGTATAGATTTTAAAGTGTAGTGTTGTTTACAAAAAAAAGATGACGTCTTCAATCAAAATTGAACCATTGTGCGAGGAGAACTATGATGAATGGAAAATTCATTTAACAGCCATTCTGAAGAAGAATGACTTATGGGGATATGTAAGCGGCGAAATAGCGAAACCATTGACCGCCGAAAAATATGCGGAATGGGTTATAAATGACGGAAAAGCGCAATCTGATTTGGTACTACACATGAGAGGAAAAGAATTAAAATGTGCGCGCGTCTCGGTTCCGCGAAAGCGATATGGGACAAATTGCAGGAACTATTCGAAAGTCGGGGTGCAACGAGGCGAACAACTCTCATGAAAAAATGCGTAACATTAAAGATGCATGAAGGCGATGATTTGGCAAAACATGTGACAGATTTTTGTGAAACTGCTGCGAAACTCAACGATATCGGCATTGTAGTCCCAGACGAAATGCTGGTAACGTTACTAATGCACAGTCTCCCTGAATCATTCGCAATGTTTAAAGAATCCATAGAAGCACAGGAGAAGTTGCCAACACTGGAAGTTTTAAAGGTTAGATTGTTTGACAGAATCCAAGGCAACAAACTAGATGAGGAAAATAAACATTCACAAGGGATACTTTATTCGGAAAGAATAAATAAGGAGCCATCAGATCATAAATCGAATGCTGCCTATCGAAGAAGTATATGCCATAAATGCAAAAAAGTCGGACATTTTGCACGTGATTGCGTAACCAAATTTGAATCACGTCGGCAAATAAAGTGTCATAGATGCGAAAAAGGAGGACATTTTGCTCGAGACTGCCGATCGAGGTATCCAGCCGGTAAGCAGTCAACAACATATAGTAGTGAACAAAGCGTGTTGTTTGGCTTTAATGAACAATCATCATTACCAGACAATATTTGGTGCTTAGATAGCGGGTGTACAAGCCATATGTGTCATCAAAAGAATAATTTTGAAAACCTTAATCGATCAAATGCGGAATTGAAACTGGCTAATAACGACTGTACTGTTATTAAAGGAATTGGAAACATTCAGACCACGTTTGAACAAAATAAAGATAAACACGTGAGATTAGAAAATGTGTTATATGTTCCAGACTTACGAATTAATTTATTATCAGTATCTAAAGCCACTGATAATGGATATAAAGTGATTTTTACCCGAAAGAGTGCATTTCTAACTAAAGAAGGCAAGATTGAATTGAAAGCACGTCGTCGAGGTGATTTATATTATATTAATGAAAAAGTGAATTCAGCGAAAAGTGTGAGTGAAAATACGAAGAGTATTGATGTGTGGCACAAAAAGTTAGGGCACTTGAATGAATATGACATTAAAGCAATGATTAAAAATAAAAGAGTGCACGGTTTAAATGTAAATATTAATAAAAGGTTAACAAATTGTGAAATCTGTGTTAGTGAAAAACAAACGAGACTACCCTTTCCAAGATCGAAGGAGATTCGTACGAAGAATTTATTAGAAATTATACACAGTGATGTATGTGGGCCAATGAGAGCTCCTTCATTCTCAGGTATGAAATATTTTGTAACGTTTATTGATGATGCATCGCGTTGGTGTGAAGTATATTTCATAAAGTGTAAATCCGAAGTACTGAGTGCATTTAAGCAATATAAAATGTATGTAGAAAACAAAACTGGACACAAGATTAAAGCTTTGCAGACAGATAATGGCAGAGAATATTGTAATAATGAATTCAATAATTTTTAAATAATAATGGTATCAAAAGACGGCTTACTTCACCGTATACGCCTCAACAAAATGGTGTAGCCGAAAGGAAGAACCGGACATTGATAGAAATGGCACGTTGCATGTTAAAGCAAGCGGGGGCACCACAACGGTTTTGGGCTGAGGCTGTTTGCAATGCCAATTACACTAGAAACAGATGTCCAACAAGTGCACTAGATGGATGTATACCATATACGGTATGGACTGGAAAAATTCCAAATTTAGGTTATTTACAAATATTTGGATCAAAAGCATATGTTTTGATTAAAAATGGAAATATCAAAGGAAAATTTGATTCGAGATCTAAACCTGGAATCTTTGTTGGTTATTCGAATAATGCTAAGGCTTATCGAATATATATACCGGGAAGCAATAAGATAATTGAGAGCAGAGACGTTAGATTCTTGAACTATTCTGGATTTAATAATGAATATAGTGAGATATATAGTGAAAATGGTTATGATGTATATTTAAAATTAGGAAATGTCGAGCAAAATACAAACCATGAAAGACCAACACAGCAGCAATCAAAACGTGGAAAAGGGCGTCCTAGGATTATTCGGACAGGTCATGCGGGAAGGCCGCGAAAAGAATATCAAATAAATAAAGAGATGATCGAAGATACATTAAGAGAATCCTCTGGAGAAGGGGAGGTTGATAAAGAGATTTCAAACGAAAACAATGTGATTAGTGAAAAATGTGAAATATTTGAAAATGCTTTTAATATATCCAAAATTAATATTACGACTTGGGAACAAGCTAGTCAGCTAGGTGATGCTGACGAATGGAGGAAAGCGTTAGAAGACGAGTACCTTGCGCAAATCAAAAATATGTCATGGGATATAGTTGAGCGACCCACACAAAAGAAAGTTATTGGAAACAGATTGTTTTTACAACAAAATTAGATGGAGAACCTAATAGAAAAAAGGTGCGGTTAGTTGCGAAAAGGATGTTCACAAAAATATGGTGAAGATTTTTTGTGAGACATATTCTCCGGTGGCACGATCAACTTCTATTAGACTATTGGCAGCATTATCTGCGGAAATAGGTTTAGAAATTCATCAAATGGATGTCGTAACTGCATATTTAAATGGAGAACTTGAAGAAAAAGTCTACATGAATCTGCCAGAACAATTACATGAGTTATTATATAAAATTGTGAATAAGAAACCATTGGGTACTATTCAAAAACCGGCTACTGAGAAAATTAGAGATACAGCGAAGACCTGGCTGAAAAATATTGAGAAAAGCCCAGATCCCGTATGTTTATTGAAGAAAGCACTATATGGATTACGTCAATCAGGTATTCAATGGCACAAAAAATTTGTAACAAAATTGCAGACAATGGGATTCAAAGCAATGTCGCAAGACCCATGTTTGTTTATTGTGCAATAAATCAGGAAACATACATTGATAGTTATTATGTTGATGATTTATTAATTGCTCAAATGATAAAGATTGGTTAAATGAAATTAAACTATCTTTATCTGAATGTTTTGAGATGAGAGACTTAGGCAAAGTAGATAGATGTCTTGGAATTGAATTCAAACAGGAAAATGGATTTGTATATTTAAAACAACGTTCTTATGCAGAAAATATACTAAATCGCTTTAATATGGAAATTGTAAAATAGTATCAACACCATGCGAGGTTAGACTCCAACTGATTAAACCTAAGGAACCCAATGAATATATCATGCAAAAGTATCCTTATCAATCTTTAATAGGGGCATTAATGTATTTGGCAGTAACTACAAGACCAGATATTGCCTATGCAGTAAATTATTTAAGTCAATTTAATACGAATTACGATACACACACATTGGAACGCAGCAAAGAGAGTATTACGGTACCTGAAAGGTACTTGAATATGGGTTGAAATATAAGAAAACAAATCAAAATTATTTGGAGTTGCAGACGCAGATTGGGGAGGTAACATAGTTGACTATAAATCATATTCGGGATTTTGCTTCTTCATATTTGCAGGTGCGCCTATCAGTTGGGAAGCGCGAAAACAGAAAATAGTAGCTCAATCAACAACGGAAGCTGAATATATAGCTTTGAGTGAGGCAACAAGGGAAGCTATATATTTGAACGAATTATTGAAGACTCTAGATATAGGAAGTGAAACGGTTACATATATAATGACAGCCAGAGTGCTATACAACTTGTAAAAACAATAGGTTCCATCCACGAACGAAGCATATCGGATTAAAATATCACAAGGTACGTGATGAATATATTAATAAGAAAATTAATATTCAATTTCTATGCAGCGAACAGATGCCAGCAGATATGCTTACTAAAGGTTTGACTAGAAATAAACACGAAGAGTGTCTGAGGAGAATTGGAATGGATGGACTGCAAATAGTATAATAAATATAATTTTGAGGGGAGGTGTTAGAATACAAAATATATATAGAATGCGGACCTGATGATATCTATCTAGGAGTGAAGAGGGGGTATCTCCATCATGGTATAAAGAAAGAAGTTTCAACAAAATCATTCTATTTCGACTTGCCTGCCCAAAGGAATAATATACCTTGTATTATTGTATAAATAGAATACTGTTATGTAAATATTATCAAAGTAATAAATTTTATTTTACCATTAACAATTTGCACTCATTACACTT